ATTTATTTGAAAAAGATACAGAGAGGAGAGAGAGAGAGAGAAAGATGGTGAGATCTTCCATCTGCTGGTTCATTCCTCAAATAGCTCCAATGGCCAGGGCTGAGCCAGGCTGAAGCCAGGACCCAGGAGCTTCTTCCAGGTCTCCCACATGGGTGCAGGGGCCCAAGCACTTAGGCCACTTTCCACTGCTTTCCCAGGTGCATTGTCAAGGAGCTGGATCAGAAGTGGAGCAGCTGAGACTTGAACTGCTGCCCAAGTGGGATGCCAAGACTGCAGGCAGAGGCTTAACTTTCTATACCACAGTGCCGGACTCTCTTTGTTTAAATTTCAGGGTCTCCTTGTTCTCTGAATGTTTCTCCTATTCTTGTTTTCTGAATTGTCTTCTCATACATTTCTGAGGGTTCTAACTGTGATTTTTCTTTTGGAAGTTTTCTTCTGCATACTCCTAGTTTACTTACTGTAAGTTGTTTCTTTTTGTTTTGTTTTATGATTATTGCTTTCATCTTATGGTTATCTTTTGTTGTATATTCACTAAAAAGTTAGCAGAAAAAAATTTACAGAAAAAAGTTAAATATGTTTAAGGTTAGGGCTTCCATTTTGTGGTGATTGGGTAGGGGCCTGGTCTTATCTTTGGGGACTTTTTAGTTTTTGCTGGGAAGATCCTTATTTTCTTCCTAGGATATACAGTTGGCGTCATTGTTCTTAGGTCCAAGTACACAGAGAGCTATGGTTTTTACCATTAGAATGTAGACTCGTTTAGTTACTTCAGCTTTTAGGTTGACACCTCTCTCCCCACCTCATGCCTTTTTTGAAGATTTATGTATTTTGAAAGTCAGAGTTACAAGAAGGCGAGACACACACACATACAGAGAGAGAGAGAGAGAATCTTCTGTCTGTAGGTTCACTCTCCAGATGGCTGTAGCAGCCAGTGCTGGGCGAGACTTAATCTAGGAACCAGGAGCTTCATTTGAGTTTTAAATATGGGTGGCAGGGGCCTAGACACTTGAGCCATCTTTTGCTGCTTTCCCAGGCATGTTAGCAGGGAGTTGGAGTGGAAGTGGAGCATCCAGGACATGACTTGGTTCTTACATGGGATGTGTTTGTCACTGGTGTAGCTTTACCCCACCCCCTGACCCCTCCTTAACTGTGCTCTTAAACCTGGTACTTCACTGACTTATTTTTACCACCCCTCCCCACTATAAATCTCCTCTCCTGCTGGGATTGGGAAGAGTATTTACCTGGCTAGGTAGGATGATAGGGAGGGAACCCAGGAGACTACTTCTTTTTATAGAAATTGAATCAATTCTCTTGTTTTTACTTTCATGCCTCACTGTGCCTGATGGTATTTGGAATCTCAAATTCCTTAAGTTTGTTATGTGAATTGGCTTTTCTCTTGTTAGAATTTTCTTCAGTTGTTTGATATTCAACTTTCTTAGCTCTAAATCCTTCATCTGTTTTTCATTTGCTAAAAATTTGTTGACATATCTTGTCTACTGTTCCTGTTATTTTTTCTTATTCTTTGTGAATTTATACTCTTTATTCCTTTAATCTTTTTTTAAAAAGTGTATTTTATTTTTATTTGTTTGAAAGATGGAGGGACAGAGAGAGAGAGAGAGAGAGAGAGAGAGAGATCTTCCATCTACTGGTTCCTTCTACAAATATCTGCAACGTTCAGGGAAGGGCCAGGCTGAAACCAGGAACCAGGAATTCCATCTAGATCTCCCTGGTCAGTCATCGCCTGCTGCCTGTTAAGGTTCACATTTGCAGGAAGCTTTTTGGGAACTAGAGCAGCCAGGATTCAGACTAGACACTCAGATAGGGAATGTCGGTGTCCTCACAGAGGCTTAGCCAGCTGTGCCCCAACACCTGCCGCTATTCTTTATCTGCTCCTCTTTTTTTTTTTTTTTAACGATTTATATATTTATTTTAAAGTCAGAGTTACACAGAGAGAGGAGAGGCAGAGAGAGAGAGAGAGGTCTTCCATCTGCTGGTTCACTCCCCAGCTGGCTACAACGGCCGGAGCTGTGCCGATCTGAAGCCAGGAGCCAGGAGTTTCTTCTGGGTCTTCCACGTGGGTGCAGGGGCCCAAGGATTTGGGCCATCTTCTACTGCTTTCCCAGGCCATAGCAGAGAGCTGGACCTGCTCCTTTTTTTATAATCTTACTTTAATATTTTTTAAATAATTTTTTAAATAATAACATGGTAACAGAAATTTGTTTGAAGTGGTTTTTTTTTTCTAAAATTTATATATTTGAAAGGCACAGTTAGAGAGAGAGAGAGAGAGAGAGAAAGATCTTCCATCCATTCATCCACTGGAAGATCTCCGCAGATGGCTGCAATGTCCAGGGCTGGGCCAGACTGAAGCTAGGAGCCAGGAGCTTCTTCCAGGTCTCCCGTGTAGGTGTAGGGACCTAAGCACTTGGGCCGTCTTCTGCTTTTCCCAGGCTTATTAGCATACAGCTGGACTGGAAGTGGAGTAGCCTGGACTCAAACTGGCATCCATATCGGACGCTGGCGTCCCAGGCAATAGCTTTTTATTTTTTTTATTTGTTTATTTATTTTATTTATTTGAAAGGCCAAATTACAGAGAGAGAGAGAGAGGGAGGGAAGGAGAGAGAGATCTTCCACCCACTGGTTCACTTCCCAAATGGCCACAACAGCTGAGGCGGGGCCAAGCTGAAGCCAGGAGCCAGGACCTTCTTTCAGGTCTCCCAAAGCAGGGTGCAGGGGCCCAAGCACTTGGGCCATCTTCCACTGCTTTCCCAGGTGCATTAGCAGAGAGCTGGATCGAAAGTGGAACATCTGAACTAGATCTGGCGCCCGTGTGGGTTGCTGGCATTGTAGGTGGTGGTTTAACCAGGTGTGCCACAGTGCCAGGCCCCACCCCTCCAGTTTATTTTTTAACATTCCCTCATATAAAATGGCTATATATGAGTCTCTGTCTCTCCCCATTTATATCTGTATCCATATCTATTCATCTATATCCGTATCTATTCATCTATATGTGTTTTAAATGTATATGACCTAGCAGTTAGTTTGCTAGTAGAAGTTGTCCCATAACTCATATAGAAGGACCTGGGTTAAGGCCTTATTTCACCTCTGAATCCAGCTCCCTGTTATTGTACACCCTGGGAGGCAACAGGTAATGGCTCAAGCAATTGAGTCCCTGTCACCTGTAAGAGAGACCTGGATTGAGTTCTTGGCTCCTGGCTTTGGCCTGGCTCAGCTTTAACATTGTGGGAATTTGGGGAGTGAACCAGATTTAGGGAGTGAACCAGCAGATGGAAGATCTCTCTGTCTCTCCCTTTCTCTCTCTTTATAACTCTGCCTTTCAAACAACTAAATAAAAATCTTTACCAAAAAAAATTGTTTTGAGAAATATTTGAAAAAACATGAGGCAAATTTTAAATTTTTCAAAACTTAAAAAAAGAATTTATTAATGTCCTAGAAGATTGTGTTAGAGCTGTTTCTTTCTCTTTTATATAAAGATTTATTTATTTATTTGAAGGTTAGAGTTGCAGAGAGAGGGAGAGAGAGAGAGATCTTCCATCTGCTGCTTCACTCCCCAGATGGCAGCAGTGGCCAGGGCTGGGTCAGGCCAAAGCCAGGAGCCAGGGGCTTCTTCCAGGTCTCCAGTGTAGATAGCAGGGGTCTAAGCACTTGGGCCATTTTCTGCTGCCTTTCACAGGCCATTAGCAGGGAGCTGGATGGGAAATGAAGCAACGGGGACACAAACTGGTACCCAAATGGGATGCTGTCATTGCAGGTGGTGATTTTTACCTGCAATGCCACAACACTGGTCCCTAGAGCTATTTCTTTTGTCTTATCAAGAAACCAGGGGGCCCTGCACTGTGGCCTAGCAGGTTAACGCCCTGCTCTGAAGTGCCAGCATCCCATGTGGGTGCTGGTTCGAGACCTGGCTGCTCCACTTCCAATCCAGCTCTCTGTTATGGCCTGGGATAGCAATAGAAGATGGCCCAAGTCCTCGGACCCCTGCAGCCACGTGGGAGACCCAGAAGAAGCTCCTGGCTCTGGGCTTCGGATCAGCGCAGCTCCAGCCATTGGGGCCAATTGGGGAGTGAACCACTGGATGGAAGACCTCTCTCTCTCTCTCTGCCTCTCCTCTCTCTGTGTAACTCTGACTTTCAAATAAATAAATAAATAAATCTTAAAAAAAAAAAAAGAAACCAGGTACATTTAGATTTTACTGTAGTTTTTTTCCTCTCTTGGAAGCCCCCCTCCATGCCACTCTGGCTGGAGGTCTTTGACTCTAATAAATCTTTTTAAATCTCAACAAAAAAATTTTGCGATAATTGTGCCTCCTAAACATTTACAAAGTTTTACTAAAATTGGTTGTTGCATCTAGCACAGCAGGGTGTCAGGTTAACCTGAAAGAGAAATGGTGTCACATAGATTAAGGAAACAGAATCTGATTAAAGATTTTAATGTGGAGAAACCAGGGGACACTCTGTCCACTGCCAAGATGGAGGCAGAAGCAGGGTCCCAGTTATCTGGATACTCCAAGTATTTATTATCAATGGTGACATGATAGATTAATCATAAAAAATGTGCAGTTTCGTGGTAACAGGATTTCATGATGAAGGAGTTTAAACATAGTAAAACAGGAAACACTGGGGAGTTTCAATGTTTATAGGAAGGACTTTTCTTGGAAGCTTGGATTAAGAGAACAATCACAATGTGGGAAAGTCTTGAGGGGGACTCATTAACTGGGGTGAATGTACCACTTGCTGTTTACTAGAGCCCACAGCATTTCCTTAGCCACCTCAGCATCATGTCAAATGACCTTTTCCATTGACATAACTTGACCATTCACCTTTGTAATCTGGCCAAGCATACCTTCAGCAGAATTCAGGCCATGTGGTAGTCTTTGAAATGTAGACTTTTAACAGAATTCAGGCCATGTGGTGGTACCTGACAATCGGTAATTGAATTTCATCCATTGGACCACTGTGTTACAAATAATTTCCTTTGAATTTAAGCTGATAGAAATGGGACGCCGGTCCTCAGATACTGAAGAAGAAAGCAGAAGCAAGAGAAAAAAGAAACACCGTAGACGGTCGTCTTCGAGCAGTTCTTCAGACAGCAGAACGTATAGTCGAAAGAAAGGCGGAAGGAAATCAAGATCGAAGTCCAGATCTTGGTCCAGAGATCGTCAGCCTCGTTCACATTCTTATGATAGAAGGTAATTTGTATAGTTTTAGTTCTTACAGTAGGAGGGTAACATTCTTTAGAGTTCATGTGTTTTTCTATTTTTAATTTCCTGCATAAATTTTTTTCTTTTAATAGTTATATATTTATTAGAATAAGGCCCAGCCCAGGTTTTTTATCCCACCAACTTTAGTCCAGAGTCTAGTGCGTTCATCCTTTGTCTCTTCTTTGTAGGAAAGTAGATATAAATGGGTGTTCTCATGCCTTATAATTTAATGACATTTGGAAAGATTATTTATTGCTTAAGACCTATACTGCCTTAATTAGTAACTCATCCAGTCTCACTAAATTATGAACCAGGCGTCTGACTGTTTAAGAGCCAGAACTTTTAATTTCTCTCTGTTTGTTTTAAAGAAAGAGTAAGGCATAGTAAAAATGAGATGATTCTTTAGAGTGTGGAAGATTTCTCCTTAATATCCATAACATCAAATTTTATAGCAATGGTATTTGATTATATTTTATTTCAGACGCAGACATCGCTCAAGTAGTAGCTCTTCTTACGGCTCTAGAAGAAAACGAAGTCGAAGTCGTTCCAGGGGTCGTGGAAAATCCTATAGAGTTCAGAGGTCTAGGTCAAAAAGCAGAACAAGAAGGTACATATGCCTTATTAGCATTTATTATTTGTAACAAACTGTTTCCAAAATTAATGACTTAAAGACATAATAATTTATTTTGTCATCATTTTACACCTTTGAGCTCAGCTGACAATTCTGGGTTTTCTCACCTGGGGTCATTTTTGCAGTCGTGTGACAGCTTGACTGGAACTGTTTTGTCAGTGTGGCTTTTGATTCTGGCTATTGGCTAGGGTATACACGGCTTGTCATGCTCTGTGGCTCGGTTGGGCTTTTTTTATAGTGGAAATGTTTTAAGAGGCTGAAAGCAGAAACTGCAAAATCTCTTTAGGGCTAGCCTCAGAAACGTCAGGGTATTCTATGGGCTCCGTATTTGTGTTCCCCACCAAGCTCATATGTTGGAGCCCTGATTCCTTTTGAGATTATATTTGGGGATAGGACTTTTATGGAGGCAATTAAGATTAAATGAAGAAATATGTTGGGACCCTAATCCAATTAGGTTGGTGGCCTTATGAGATGAGGAAGAGACATCTCTCCATGTAAAGAAAATCCAGGTGAGAACATGGAGAAAAGGCCACCATCTACAAGACGGGAAGAGAGCCCTCATAAGGAACCAAATTGGCCGGTACTTTGATATGGACCTTTTAGTTTCTAAAGTGGTGAGAAAATTTCTGCTGTTAAGCCACCCAATCTATTGATATTTTGTTACGGTACTCTGGGCAGACTAATTCATGGTGTCACTACACATGCATTTTTTGGCCTTGCTTAGGGCCAATAAAGAGAGTGGCTTATCTGGAGAGTTGTACATTTTGGGCAGTGGTAGAAAATATAATTTAATAAGATCATGGGATGGGAACTGTGGTGTTGAAGAACTTGATGAAGACATGTGTTCAGAAGTCATTGAAGGTTTTTGAGCAGGAGAATTTTAGGATTAAATAAAGCATAAAAACAGTATTTTAGGAAGTTCAGGTTTTTTTCCTCTGCTTGCTTCTGCATGCTCTTAGGCTGTAATTGGGATGGATGTTAGCAGCCTCAATTTGTTATCTAGGCATAACATTTATCATTTATGATTCTCTGTGTGGATAATAGTAGTAAAGTCAGAATGTGTAACTTTTCTGGCCTTGTATTACTTAAATTCTAAGGATAAACCATTCTGTAGTACATGCCTTCTTTCTCCATTTGACCCATAGTTGCATGCTTTGTTTTCTTTGAGTGTACTCTTTTTTCCAGTTTTCTATCATCATCTGTATTTGGAGAAATCTTCCTACCATTTTTTGTTAAAAGATTTATTTATTTATTTGAAAGTCAGAGTTACACATAGTGAGAAGGAGAGGCAGAGAGAGGTCTTCCATCCACTGGTTTACTCCCCAATTGGCTGCAATGGCCAGAGCTGTGCTGATTGGAAGCCTGGAGCCAGGAGCTTCTTCTGGATCTTCCACATGGGTGCAGGGGCCCAAGGACTTGGGCCATCCTCTACTGCTTTCCCAGGCCATAGCAGAGAGCTGGATCAGAAGTGGAGCAGCCAGGACTTGAACTGGTGCCCATATGGGATGCCAGCACTGCAGATAGTGGTCTTACCTGCTACGCCACAGCGCCGGCCTCTCTTCCTACCTTTTTAATGTTGATTTATTTTCATCTACTTAAAAGGCAAAGCAACCGAGTCACAGAGAGATCTCCCATCTGCTAGTTTACTCCTCAAAGTCCTGTAACAGTCAAGCCTGGGCAAAGCTGAAGCCAGGAACCTGGAATTCCATTTGGGTCTCACATGTGGATGGCAGGAATCCAAGCACTTAGGCCATCACCTGCTGCCTTCCAGGTTATAATAGCAGAAAGCTGGATTGGAAATAGTGCACCCAGGACTCCTGCTGGCATTCCAGCATGGATGCTGGCATCGTAAATGGTAGTTTAACCCACTGTACCACTGCACCCACCCCTCTTAACATTTTAATGTTAACTTTATGTAGTTTTCTTTTTTTTTAAGATTTATTTTGTTTATTTGAAAGGCTGGGTTACACACACACACACACACACACAAACACACACACACACACACAGAAATAGAAGTGGGGGAGAGGAGAGAGTGATTATCTTCCATTCTTGGTTCACTCCCCAAATGACTGTAACCTGGGTTTGAGTCAGGCTGAAGCCAAAGGCCTGGAACTCCATCCCAGTCTCCCAAGTGGGTGACAGGGGCTGGGTACTTGGGCCATCTTCTGCTACTTTCTCAGGATCATTAACAGAGAGCTGGATTGAAAGGGAGCAGCTGGGACTAAATTGGTGCCCATATGTGATGCCAGCATTGCAAGCTGCAAAGCTTGACCCACTGTGCCACAATGCTGGCCCCCAAGTTCTGTGTAACTGTAATTCTCCTTTTCTTTAAACCCTTTTACTGTTTTCATGTTTTTCTCTCCTAAGTCAAGTTTAAACCATCCTTTCTCTCACCTACTATCCCATGTGTTTTTTGATTTGTGACAGTTATATTGTGAATATTACAGTTTTGTTTTTCTCATATATTGTAATCTCTTGGTAACTAGCATAATTCCTTGCTCAGTTGATACATGATGACTGAATGATTAATTGGGGAAATGAAGGTAGATAGAGAGTTGAAAAGGAAAAGTTTTATTTTATTAATTTGTAGAGAGAAAGCTTTATTTTCGATGTCTTAATTTATCTAGCAAGAGACTGATTACCAGAAAGCAACTTGAATTATAATTTCCTATTGGTGGGACCAGATATAATAATACTCTGCTTTTATGGTTGTATGCTTTAACATACACTATATCAGTCAATCTGTGTATGATTAGGAAAACAGAAGCCACTCAATTCTAAGGATGAGAGAGTTTTAGCATAGAACCTTTGGTAGGGCTTAGGGAGTGTGCAGGGTGGGGAAGGTGTTAGTGATTATTTCAGCCTGAAGCATGGAAATTTGTTATCTCAGACGTAAGTGGAAATCTTAAGAAATAAAATGAAAAGTTTTCAAGAAACTACTCACTTGGAAGCTGCTTCTGTGCCTAAGTGTTTACTTACAACTTCCTCTAGTAATGAATCTGAAAATGCAGTTACTTTCTTTTCCTTTGCAGAAGGGGACCTTAATGAGAGTGGCAGTGATCTAGTCACCAATAGGTAATCCAGCACACATCCATTTTGTAATTGAGCTTTTGTAGTCCTCTGTGAGGAAACAAATTCATGAGCCCATTCAAAATGGCAACTTCTCAACTTTGCTGTTATGTGTGTCTAAAATAAAGGTGTTACAGGAATGACAGTAGCTGCAAAGTTAAATGTTTGACGTTTAAATTTCCATAGGTAACTTATAGAGTAACTGGGTAATTAGTCTTTTTAATATAACTTTTTATGTTCTTTTTGATGTGCTAGTTGTGACATGTATCTTATCACTTTCTTCTTCATTGGTGAGAAAGTTACCCTTATTATATACAGTATATTTACTTGCTTATTTTGGCTAAACCTGGTAGAGGAGACTTGGCCTGCTAAAGGTGGAAAGTGCTATGGGAATGAAGAAAGAGATGAAGAAATCCAGGATTACACAGAGTTTATTAGAGACTTAAGGACAGAGGCATTGTTTTGAGTGGACACCAGACCGATGGATCCCTAGCCACTAGGCAAGAGAAAAATGGTTTTGTAGTTAGAGGTGGCCTGTGGCTAACAGGCTTATACCTGGACTTTGTCAGGAAGTATTAACATCACACGTGTCAGATAAGAGATATTTCAGATGTCAGATAAGCCACATGAGTTGCCTTAATGAGTTTGTTTATCCCATAGGCTTTGGGATGACTGTCAGGGTTACCTGAATGGCAGAATAACGGTATGTCCAACCTGACTGTAATCATATCAAGTTGGATCTCTACATTGATCAGTTATGGAATATACAGAAAGTAGTTTCAGAAATGCTAATATATGGTGGTGAAAATCTCACTTAGAAAGTAAATTCAAAGTTTCTTCCCATTCTTATGATCGGTACCCTGAAGGTGTCTAGTTCTGCATCTGAACCCGGACTGGTTCTTTCAGTATGGTTAATTTCTTCATTTTGAAAGATTTGATCTCATTTGTTTCTTTTTATATTTCATTTCGAGTACTTAGTTCCTTTAAATTATTGTACTTTTCCTGTTTATTTTAGTATGTAAAAAATTAATATGGTTCCAAAAGACATGACTTTACCAAACGGTATACTTAGAAAAGTATCACTCCCTCTTCTCTCTAGAGAGAGAGAGAGAGATCGTTCATTGGCTGTTTCATTCCCCAAATGGCTGCAATGGCCAGGGCTGGACCAAACTGAAGCCATGAGCCTGAAGATTCTTCCAGGTCTCCCATGTGGGTATAGGGGCCCAAGTACTTGGGCCACTGCTTTCCTAGGCACATTAACAGTGAGCTGGGTAGGAAGTGGAGCAGCTGGGAGTTGAGTTGGTGCCCATATGAGATGCCAGCACTGTAGGCAGTAACTTGTTCAGTGTCACAATTCTGCTCCCCACTCCCTCTTCTGACCTCTTCCTGTCTACCCTTTGATGTATTTGATGTAACCAATCTTGTTAGTTACTAGTTTAAACTTTCTGCATTTCTTTTTTTTTTTTTAAATGAGTAATTATACTTGAGGCATTCCATAGATACTCTATTACATTTTACTTTTTTTTGTATACGAATATATCTTTTTTAAAATTTTGTTATATAAGTTTCATGTATTTTTTTAAAAGATTTATTTTATTCATGAGCTAGAGACACACACACAGAGAAATCTATCTGCTGAAAGACAGAGTTATAGAGAAAAGGTAGAGACAGAGAAATCTTCCATCTGCTCGTTCATTCCCAAATGGCCGCACTGAAGCCAGGAACCAGGAGCTTCCTTGAGGTCTTCCACATGGCTGCAGGGGCCCAAGTACCTGGACCATCCTCCACTGCTTTCCCATGCGGATTAGCAGGGAGCTGGATCAGAAGTGGAGCAAGTGGGACTTGAACTGGCACCCATATAGGATACTGAAACTGTAGGCTGGATCCTTAATCCACTGTGCCAC